TGCACAGCAATGTCCCACAAACAGTCGTAGATTGAAAATGACCAATTTATTATTGTTTTTGGTTTTGGAGGGATTATTATTAGGCGTGTGGAGTAAGGAAACTTGCCCAAGGTTTCGCCCTGCCTGGAATTGAACTCAGGTCTTTCGCTTGCAAAGCGAGTGCTCTAACCACTGAGCTACAGTACTCCACAGTGTTTGTGGGACACTGCTGTGTGGAGCTGGCTGCTTCATTTTGCACAAAAAATATAGTCAATTCACTTTACAGTATATCCTGTGAAGCACTTTGAGACGTCTCGAAAATGTGATAAGGTGCTATATCAAATGCAAAGATTATTATTACATCAAAATGCAAGGGTTATTATTATTATAGATGTGTTGCCATTTTTTCTCTTATTGTCTAGGCTGACAATCCAGTTTGGTGCTAAGGGGTGCTTTGCATCGTTGAAGGTGCTGTCCTTCAGATGAGACATTTAACTGGTTCCGTCCTCCTATTTAGCCGTTACAGATCCCATGACATTGTTCGAAAAGAGAAGGGAGTTTCTCCCAATGTCCTGGTGAACAACCCCCAGATAAAAAATAATTGGTAATTTGTGGATTTCATGTCACTATAGGTGGTCAAAGAGGAAGATTTTGAGATGGATCTTGAAGGAGAAGGGGAAGGGATGAGTTGAAGGAGGCAGGTACACTGAAAGCTGATAGTAGGGCGATGACGTGGGGAATGTGAAGCAGGCTAGATAAAAAAAAATTGGTAATTTGTGGATTGTTTGTGGAACATTGTTATATTCGAAACTGGCTGCCTTGTTTTGCTACAAAATACACAGTGAATTCACTTTGCAGTAAATCCTGTGAAGCTCTTAGACATCCTCCTCATATGAAAGACGCTATATCAAATGCACAGATTATTATTATTATGATGAGCATTACAAAATTAATTGAATCGATTTCAGCCTTCGGACTGTAATTAGTGACATTACAAATGTCGAAAGAAGATGAATTTCATACTGTAACATTCGTCATTTATTCATAGTGCTCAAAGTATTGAAGGGCAACTATTTCTCAATTAGATTAAATAGTGAATTAGTAAAACAACTTGGTACATTGCTCATTCTGCATGTTCAGCAATTTATTCAAGAAAAATTCTGTTTAATAAATACAATGTGATTTGATGAGAATTGATCTAATTTACAGGACAATACAAATTTACATTATATAATGCCTTTCACATCACTATAGGTGGTTAAAAAGGAAGGTTTTGAGATGGATCTTGAAGGAGAAAGGGAAGGGATGAGTTGAAGGAGGCAGGTACACTGAAAGCCAATGGTGGCGCGGATGATGTGGGGAATATGAAGCAGACTAGAGGGAGCGACCAAGGTTGAATAATAATAATAATCTTGCATTTGATATAGCGCTTTTCACGTCTTCTAGACGTCTCAAAGCGCTTCACAGAATATGCTGTAAAGTGAACCGACTGTACATTTGTGGGCGAAACGCGGCAGCCAATTGTGCACAGTAGTGTCCCACAAACAGTCATGGACTGAAAATGACCAATTTATTATTGTTTTGTTTTGGAGGGATTATTATTAGGCGTGACGGAGATCATAGAGGTAGGATGGGACGAGATCGTGGAGGGATGTAAATGGGAGAACAAGGATCTTGAAGTTGATCCATTGGGGGATGGGGCGCAATGGAATTGAGCAAGGTTCCAGGAGCCTACTGCTGGAGAGAACCGGCTACAGAGTTCTGCATAGTATTACAAAACTTTCCCAACATGCTGGACAGTCGAGGCCTTACACCCGAACTTGGGATTGGAGTCAAGAAGGGTGCAGCTGGGTGAGGAGAGCATTGGAAAAATTGAGGTGGAAGGTGACAAATGCATGGATAAGGGTTTCAACTGCGGTAGGCATCAGTCAAGTTCCAAGTCACTGAATAAAAAATAATGAGATAGCTGAAACTAAAAGGGGATATAAAAGGAGAAACATGATATACCAGACAGCACATAAAGATAAGCGTCTACATTTTTTTTTAGTGCTTATCAAAATGAGAGATTTTAGTGCTAGGATATAGATAACGTTCCCATTTTTGGTATCTACTATCAGAATCAAGCATTCCGAGGTCAAGTAAACCATGGCTTACGGTTACCACATTGAGGATTTTTTTTTATCAGTACAGTTGATTATTTCGTGAGCCAGCTAGTTGCTGGTTCAAACTTCCACCATAAGTAAAGAAGGCGATTTTTTAAAAAAAAGCTTTGTAGAAGTGACAGGAAATTCAATTGTTTCCTGGGCAACAAGTCAGACCAATCTGGAGAAAGACCTTCTGAATGGTTAAGGGCCACAGGCAATTAGAATACAGGAAAGTATGCTGTGAAAACAGCTGTGAAAAAAGGCAGTTACCAAAGGGGGAAGAGAGGAGAGAGTGAGAAGGGCTGCCACTGTGGGGGAGAAAGAAGGCTTACCACTAGGTTGAGGAGAGAGAGAGAGAGAGAGGGAGGTTGGCATTGTGGAAAGAGAGAAAGGTTAGCACTGTGCTGGGTGGGGAGAGAAATCAAGAGACAATAAATTATAAACAACCGTCCTTACTTGACACTTTGTTATTTAAGCAAGTATAGGACATTTGTGCAAGAGTAACTGGTTTGGGTGTGTGTTGGCCGGTTAGGTATGTAATATAAGCAACAACCCTTCATCTTTTTAAGCGTATCCGAATCAAGCTGAGAATTCCACATATGTATGCCACCTACAAATGGAAATTTCCCGGTGTCTAGAATGGAATGCATTCTCATGGTGCATTCTCTCCCTGGAGGAATGCAACATGTGAATGATGGAAAGTATAAGGCAAAGGTTGGCAAAAACCAAGGCTTGGGGACCCGGAGTATGCGTTGGGTAATTGTTAGAATTTTACCAAGTAAACCGTGTAACTTGCAATTGAGAACCACATTTGGCATCCTCCTGATGTGAAAGGAGCTATATCAATGCAATTTGTTGTTATTGGCAAGCTTCCTGCTGCTTGTCCAGCAAGGACCAGTTATTGCTTTGGCTTGCAGGATTAAGAGGTAATGAGTAGGAAGAATTCCTGTCCCCAGTGACCAGTCTGCCCCTCCAGGTCCAACTGATTGGTTAGTTCATCATCAGTAGTGCCGTGGAGTACTGTGGACTATTTGGCTCAGGAACTAACCACCGTAGAGGGGTGACGATCCCAACATTCCATTGCCAAGCACATCACCTTGGGGCAAACTCAGCCCAAGGAGACTCTGCTGATTTCTCCCTCCCCAAGTTTGATGGTCACTAGTCATATGCAAATATTGGTTTCATCTATCCTTGATCTCTGACAAACAAACTACAATCTTACATTCTATCTACAAAAGATGCCTATTTCAGATCTAAATTTGGCCAGGACATCAGGAGAAACTTCTCTTTTCGAAAAGTGCCATGAGATCTGTAACATCCACCTGAACAAGCAGATGGAATTTTAGTTTAATATCCTACCTGAAGGATGGCACCTCCAACAATACTTCACACACCTCTGCACTACACTGAGTAAACTTTGATGATATGAGTTCTAAGACCCAACATGGGGCTTGAACCCACAAACATCTGTCTCAGAGAGGAGTGCTACCCAATGAGCAAGCTGACACAGAAGAAGACATAGCAGAAAGGAAAATTAAATGGAATGTGAGACACCCAAACAGCCTGGCTAAGACTGATGGCTACAAGCTGTCTTCTAAGCATTGGACTAGAGGGCTGGAATTGAGCATGGTTGATTAACTAACCTGATCTCTCCCCCAACTCCTGAAATGAATCATAGAATCATAGAATCGTACAGCACAAAAAGAGGCCATTCGGTCCATCGAATTTGTTCCGGCTCTTTGAATAGAGCAATTAATGTCAATCCCACTCCCCAGCCCTTTCCCCATAACCCTGAAAACCCGTCCTCCTCAAATACTCGTCCACCGCGTTTTTAAAATTAGTTATTGAATCAATGGTACTTGGAGAGCCCTAATAGTGAAAAAACCTTAAATAATATTAATCTTTGCATTCGACATAGCTCCTTAGCACATCATTGGGACGTCTCAAAGCACTTCACAGAATATATTGTAAAGTGGGTTGATCGTGTAATTTGTTGGCAAAACATGGCAACCAATTACACACAGCAGTGTCCCACAAATAATCATGGACTGAGTGACCAAATTTTCTTGGGAGGGATTATTAGCCCAGATAGCGATCCGCCAATTAACTAACAACCAGGTTCCCATTTACTGCTAGGTAAACAGAGGCGTGTGGAATAAGGAAATTTTCCTTAAGGTTTTGCCCTGACCGGGAATCGATCCCGGATACTCTCGCTTGAGAGGCGAGTGCTCTACCACTATGCTGCAGGACTCCATAATAACTAAGTGCAAGGACTGCAAAATAGATGTTTTAAAATTATAATATTAATGCTTCAATTCAATTTTTTTTACGTTAAAAACGTTAAGACACAAAACATGCAATTTGGGCATTGCATAAGCTTCAGGAATAGAAAAAAANGGGACGATAATAAAAATCCTTGCATTTGATACAGCAGCTTATCAAGTCATTGAGACGTCTGAAAGGGCTTCACAGAATATATTGAAAAGTGAATTAACTGTGTATTTTGGGGGCGAAACACGGCAGTCAATTGCAGTTTTTTAGGTTCAGTCTGAGTGCAGTTTGAAGAAGATGAAAATCTAGATTGTCTCAGTACTGCACTGTGCAATGCCCAGCGGTGTTGGTAATGAGAGGAAGGGGGAGGGGGGGAGAGAGAGTGACCAGTGACTTTAACAAGGAAATTCCCCACCTCTCAGTGAGTGGTGGGGAATTTCCGTCTCGTGAAGGAAGAGCGCCGAGATTGACAGGCCGCGAGGGGAATGGGCGGGGCGGGGCGGGGCAGGCTGGCGGGCGAGCGACCAATCAGACAGCGGCGGGGCGGGGCGGTGAGCTGCGCTGCGTTGCGCTGCGCGGATTGACGTGTGGCTTTGTTCCGCGGGTCCCGGAGCCTTTGGGAGGCGGCGGTTGTGGTGGCAGAGGCACCGCGAGCTGGAGCGCGAGCGTCACCTTCCCCTCACGTCACGTCAGACACGACAGGTTCGTGCTCGACCGTTAAAAATCACAACGCTCGCGAGCCACCGTCTGGGTCCCGAGAGGGCGGTGGCGGTTGAGGAGATTTAATTCATTCCCGACCCCGCTGGTGGATGTGGGAGGAGGAGGAGGAGGTGGTGTGGACGGGCGACACAGAGCAGACAGGCACCGGGCTGGGCTCCATCCTCTGCTGCGGGAGGCCGACGGCCAGTCGGGTCGGCCAGACAGACGGAGGGAGACGGCGAGCAGCGAGGTAGGTCGTCGCCGTCCTCCCGTGTCCGCGGGGCTCGAACACCGTCTGCGGGAGGGAGAGAAGCCGCTCGCACCCCCGCGCGGTTGGCCGATCGCGAGGCGAATGAAACTTTTTTTGTGGTGGTTATTATTTTTAACGTAATGGTTGAAAGCGAAGCGCACCCGCTGCCGTTGAGCACTTTTATTGAAGTGAAATTCTGACGCCGGTGGTTATCCTGTATTACAAAAAAGGGAGAAACCCCCCCCACACACACACACACCATAAAACATAGCGTTTGTCTGAGTTGCATATTGGATCGTGGAAGTGAAACGGGTTTTGTCTCAGCATTTCTTTAGACCATTGGGTGGTTTTTTAAAAAAATATATATATACACACACACAAAAGTGCTGTATTGCAATCTGTATTGGGTTTGGTTCAGTTTAATTTAAATGTTTTTTTTGCTGGGTTTAGCATTTGAATTTCTGTCAGCGTGTCGAGCATACTAAACACGTAGCTATATACATATATATATATATATAATACAACCCAACCCATATGGCTGGACTGCTGTGCCTCGAGTTACTGTACACATTGTGCATTAGAGCCTTTCCCTTTTGGATAAGCAAAATGAAGAATGGATGCAATGGACTGTAGATTTGCTCTCGCGATCTAAATCTAGAATTGGATGTGTTGTACTGAAGAATATTAATGGCTTTGTGCCTCGTCTGATGTGGATGAAGAATTGAATTAAAATGAAATGCCGGTGCAAAAGTAGCCCTTTGCTCAATCCACAATTTACTCTATAATGCCTTTTATGCGAATTTGCTGGATTTATTCACATAATATGTGAACAAAAAACATTTGGTGACCCCTGCAATTTTATGAACATTTGGAATTTAAAACAGTAATTGTGATATCAACACCTGTGTTGATATTTTATTTGACACAGTAGTTATTGTATTATGAGGCGTTTGCTTTAGAAATACACAGTACACTGAATTTTCAAGCTGCAATATCAATAATCAAATCCACATGCTGCTGATTCTGGGGGTTATTTGGTTTTCTTAGTAACTCCCAAACTTTTAAGTTGCCATTTCCAGTTTTTGATTATATTTATCAGAGGTGAAAAATATTTCTATTAAATTTTAAGCTGTTCAAATACTGATACTTGCATAAGTCTTGCGTGCAAATTTTGCTGAGGCAAATAGTAATTAGTTCATTCTGAATTCATTTCAGGGACCTGGTTTTGATAAACTATTTATAATGAAGGGATCACTTGAAGCACCAGTTCTTTGCCACATGTTATTGTGTAGAAAACATTGCTTTGGATTGACCGCATTTCTTGTACAATATCACTTTTTTAGTTCAATTTGTAAGTTGTCAGTGAGTCCAATGACCTTGCTCACATTGTTAGTTCCTTCTAACTCTTTGTATAAGAGATCCAATTCTGCTAGTCGTAAAATTTAATTTCTCTTGAATATTCTGAGTCTGGGCAGTATAAGATTAATGTCTGACAATGCCTAAATCCAGAGTAGTACAGAATTTAAATCCTCAAACTGCCAAATGGTATAAAGCCTTTTGGGGGGGAAAAACTAACTCTCTTGTGATGTTAAACAGAATTTTAAGGGGTAAGAGCCTAGCTTCAGTTTGAAATTTGAGAACTACCTCCAATTATTCAGTACTTTGGTACAGGCATTTCAAAATCATATCCCAGAAATTTAGTCATGATGTTTTTGGCAATGTCTCAGTCATTGTTCATTGGTTTAAAAACTAGAATGCTTGCAAGTGATCCTTTGCAGTGTTTCATCTCATAAATGTCATATGTGAATGCTAAGGAACATTTTCTAATAACTGGTTTGATCTCAGAAACAACTCAAACAGAATTCAGATTTGTCTCCTCTCAGTTAGTGTTGTTATTCACAGGATTCAGTTTGAGTTGCAGTGTCTATATTTGTCAGCTGTGGAACAAATCCAATTTTACAGTTGTCCATAAATATGGATCTTAGACTGGTCATTTGGAGATCAGTCACATTGGTGATTTACAATTATGTCAAGTCACATTTCTAGATGAAATGTTGCTTTACGTTTCTAAAAAAAAATCTGCATTTTCTTCCTCCTAGGTTAAAACTGCTTGCTGCAGCAAATAGTAGTTTGCTTTTAATCCAATGGACATTTTGCATGTGAAGTACCACAGCGGTGCGTTAAACAATTCAGCTTTGCAACTTGGTACGTTTTTTAAAAAGACCGACGGGTTGATGTTAACTGAAGTGCAACTAAAGGAAAAAAAGAAGCGCACTTATTTTTAAAGAGACATGCTGCATAGCAGTGGTGGAAGTGGTTGAGCCATCAAGTGCTTTACATCACATTTTGGATGAAAACAACTGTTAGATAATTCTTCTTCAAAGTGATATGCCCTGTGATTCTTGAATGTTACCTCTGGGTATCTAAGAGACAAAAAGACTGGTATACTCTTCCACTATCTTCATACCTTGTCCACAGGGTGAAAAAAAGGTGAAAATGACTGCTGATGGATATCAGTATCAAGCTCTATATGAATACAGAAAGGAACGAGAAGAAGATATAGATTTACACTCTGGTGATATATTGGTGGTCACAAAAAGTTCCTTATTTGCTCTGGGTTTTGGCGAAGGAGACGAAGCTAGACCAGATGAAATTGGCTGGCTCAATGGGATAAACGAAACAACACAGGAAAGAGGGGATTTCCCAGGAACATATGTACAATTCTATGGCTACAGGAAAATTCACCTCCAACACCCAAGCCGAGGCCTCCCAGGCCATTGCCCGTGGCTCCAAATCCATTGAAATCAGAAGATGCTGACCAGCAAGGTCAGTGTTTTCACTTTTTCTTGGGTGGGGATCTGGGAATATGTATGTTTAAAAAGTGGCAATGTAGTATGAGATGCTTAATAGGATGATCATCTTGAAAGGAAAATGTACAGTTTGTACACATTTTCAGTTGTTGGAATTGCCTGGCCTGATTTTTTTATATATGTAATTCTTAGTCACCATTCTCATCCACAATTAGTTGATTTAAGCACTTGAAACTAGCAATAGAATAATCTGCTTTAATTTACACTTGTTGTACCTAAGTGTGGTGGACTTTCAAGTGCATACAAGAAGATCCATAATTGCATTGTACCGTTTATTCTGGTCAGCTAACACCAACTGTAATAATGTTGGGCACATTAATTGTAATGCGCTGCCAGATGTTACACAGCGACATCAGCACATTTTTAAAACTTGATCACATTTTTGATGATTCTTGGGAAGCAGTTCCAGAGTATGGATTTACTCTATTTATACAGTGTTTGAGATTGTCCGGGATTTGACAAATGTTTAATTACAGAACTGCACAGAAAACCAACTGCAAAGATAAGGCTGAATTTGCCAAATTCTGGACATTCTAAAAAGCTACATAATGGAATAAATCTAGTTCCAGCTGTGTTCTGTCCTTCAGATTGAATTTTTTTTGCATATTTGTAAAGATGAGGTATGACTGTGCTGGGGAAACATATGTTTCCTACTTTCACACAGATTTAGCACTAATGTTTTTGGGTTAGATACAGTAAGTTTTCCTGTACACTGCTTCAGTTGTGTTCCTTACCTAAACCTCTGAAGAGCACCCTCTGCTGCATTAGTGTAACATTTCCTTTTCTTTTATATTAGCTATTAAAGTAGCCGCAGATGGTCAATTTACTGGGAGATTAACAGTAAATTTGTTTTGGGGACTTGTGCCCACCGAATTGAGAAATCAAATTGAGTGATCCAAATCAATCACTTGGAAGAGTTCACCTTGAAGGAAAGGAAGGAAATGTGGGTTAAACTTTGTGCATTTCATATCTGTATCTATGGCTGACTAGAAGGGCAGTTTGTAGTGTCAGTTAATTTTTTTTATTTACTGTGAATTTGAGTAGTTTATTTTATAGTTTACTGATTAATTTATTTTGTTGGTAGCTTGAGATTAATGGTTGCAGGCGGTATTATCATGTAAATATATTTTCTGATCAAAGGTTTCATTGTTGCCACGGTTTCCATTGATTTACATATCACTTTTCCTTTATCATTTTTGCTTAAACTATCTATCTCTGGGGCTCAGAAAATATTCCGCTTTCTGGCCATTGCTAGTATTGCTACCTTCTAGGAGGTGTACAAGAGCAGCATGGTGAAGATTTCCCATTCAGTATTTACTCCCCTCTGTTGCAGGAAGCTGCAAGGCCTCCATTTGGCATCTCCCCACAAGCTTGGGAACATAGAGTAGGAGACTGGACTGGAGTCCAACTACTCTGATTTTATAGAAAAAAAGTTTCTTACAAAATTGACAACTTATTAATGCTTAGAACTTTTAGTTGCCTCTCTCTCTCTCTCCTGCCACCACCACATTTGTAATGTACAAATCCTGTGCCACTATTGTATGAAGCTGTAGTGTTTTCTTTGCATCCCTAATGAAATTGGCTGGCTCAATGGATGTCAGTGACAAACTGAATGGTGTTCACATTTAGTGGCTATAATATGGGGACAAATTCATTTTTTTATATACGGTATTTATACTGCAACATATTCACACAGTTTGATCTGTAGATGACTGAGGAATGAATAGGTTATAATTTACACTGAGATTTGGTTTGGAGAAACACTGAACTCTAGAAAATTGTCCTCCCATATAACTGGCTTCAAATCTCTTATGGATTTGAGGTCTTTTGCTGGGAACGGGTTCCATGGGTTCAGACAGCCTCTTGTGTCTAGTACCACTACCATTCAAGTACAAGCTCAGGCATTGAACCTCAATTGGCAGCTTAATGGGGAAGGAGAGATGACAATTTTAGATGCTATTTTCATTGTTATAAATTGGTTTGGGATTTGTCTATATTTCCTGGTGATTTTTATAATTTTTTTTAAAGGTTTAGTAAATTTCAAGCTATACTGACATAAGTATTTTAGATTAATACTTTCATTTCCTCTCCTTTATTATTGCAACAATTGATTCTGGTGTAATCTTAGAACATTGTCTTTTGGTTGTTCCTCTTTCTCATGAATATAGTTAAGTTTGGGCTTGATGAGACCTAACATTAAAATGTCAATTCTCCAGCAAAGAAGAAAAAGTCCCCAATCTATATTCTCATAATGGTTAATGAATGTCATTGCTACAGCATTTGAGATTTGCATGGCCATCCACCTTTAAAATGCCAGTCTAAATCCTTGCTGTCCTGCAATGAGAATTTATTCAAATGGCTCTCTTCCCCCCCACCTCCCCCCACCCCATGTCCAATAAATCACTGGCTGATAATTTTTTTTACTTGTGTGCATCTTAGTCTGGAAATTAATAACCAATACACTAAATATTGAATCTCTCACAAAGCCTTACAGAATCCCCTGCCATGTTTAATTGTGTACTGCTCCCCACAGAAGTTGCAGCCCAAGAGTTGCTTTGAATATAGGTGTGTTTATTTGTTGGGAGTAAGAAGAAAAATTCTTGGAACTAGTTTCACAGCCAATCCCAACACTTCATTTTAAAGCTCGAATTGGCAGGCAATCTCTTTTGTGAGTCAACTGGACAACTATTTGATTAACTTTCAGCATCGGAATATGGGTGCTGAATATTCTCCAATGCTAAAATATCATTAAACATTGAAGGCTGACCCAGGGAGCAGAAACTTTTCCAGCGATGTGGGTATTTGAAGGGTTAATTACATTGTTTTGATTAAAATATTAGTTTTCAAGATGGAACTAGATAATGATAATCTTTGCATTTGATATTGCACTTTTGTTGAAGCATCACAAAGCAGTTCCCAGGATTCACTGTAAAATGCAGTGACTCTGTATTTTGTAAATGGATATCTAACAAGGAATAAATTACGCGGGTAGGGTGAAAAGGCAGAAACATGGTTTGAATGGGACACTCTTTCAAGAGCCAGCACAGACATGGTGGGCTTAAGGGCCTGCTTCACTGCTGTACACTTCTATGGTCTGTGGACCTTGAGGAGCTAAACGTTTTTCATGTTGTATTAATGGCGTTTAGTATACTGAATGTATACATACTGAAAGGTCTAACTTCTGAATACAGAAGCAATGACAAAATTACATTTGTATAGCATCTTTCATGTCAGGAGGACGTCCCAAGGCGCTGGGCAGTGTTTCGGACCCGAATTGGGGGTTGGGATTGGGGAGGCAGGATGATTGAAAGCACGGCCGAAGAGGAGGGTCTTGAGATGGGTCTACTGGTTTGCAATAGCTTTATAACGGCATTCTTAGTGCGTTTGATATTTTACATCACACACATGCAGACAACCTAGAATATTTAGCAAAGTTGTTTTCTTTTTGATGCCGGAGTTTTATTAAATCTGTTGGAAAGAGACATATCTGCAAGCTTGTGGTAGAAAGTTCTCAGTTGCTGTGCTCTTTCTGATGTGAGGTATTGAATCTTACCTATGAAGTTTTAATGTTTCATTTAAGGGTGTTCAATATAGCTCACATCTTGTTACAACATGAAAAATGCTTGGCTCCTGAGGACTGAGATTTATAATGAAGGTGTAGTGTATCTGTGAAATTCCAAAGATGCTGCTGCAGTTTTAATGAAAAATGTTTTCAATGTTTCAGTATTTATTTCAGTACTCTGTGGATAATAAGGGACGTTACAATGTCTCCTGTTGAAGTTCACCTAATTAGTGAGCTTACTTCTTCAAATATTCAATTTTATTATGTTTTGAAATCATTATTTGCATACATTTTAAGGCTGTAACAAGAACTTACACGAATTACCTGTTTCTGTGTTCCAACGTGTGTTACATGTTGCAACACGGAAACAGGTCATTTGGTCAATCAAGTGTTTATTTTCCCCCCCACATGAGCAATGTAATTTAATCCTGCTCTGTTGCTTGCTGCTCATATCATTCCATCATCTTCAAACATCTATCTAATTTCCTTTTAAAATAATCTATGGACTCTGCTACAACAACGGTTTGTGGCAGAGTTCCACATTCCAACTACTCTATGTGAAACTTTTTTTTCCCCCTAACCTCTTCTTGTTACTTGCTGACCAGTGGAAATCTGTTATTTGCCGTATCACAACATGCCTGAACTCTTCATACATTTATCTAAAGCTCATCCAGCTAAAGATTAGAATATCCCAAATAGCACTGATATTATTTAGTAACCCGAAAGAGTTTTGTTGCAGCAATATAATTTTTTTGTTAATTTCAGGGCATTTCCTAACTAAAATTGTTGAGATAAAAATTGGAATCTTTCGGCTCTTCTTATGGCCTGCGGATAAAGTAGCAGCATTAGCCCATACAGACAAGAATCATTTCCAGAATTGACTCATGATCATGGTAAGTTAGTAGTTTATGCACCAGAATTGGCCTTAGCCCATTTGGTTTAGGTAGGGGAAAAATCAGCTGTGATTTCTGCTCCTGATTGTTTTCCAGGCTTTGGCTAAAAGTTGCATGTATGCATGCATTAGATGAAGGTAATATTGGGCTTCTTTATGATTGCTCTGCCTATCTTCTACCCCCTAAACTCACTACAGGGCATCATTGCATATAATAATGAATGTGAGGTACTACAGAGCACTGTTTGCCATGGAACAGTAGAAAAAAAGTTTGAATAAGCACATTGTCAAGAGGGAAGAAAAACTAGTAGAAAATAAAGTTTAAAATATTTTTGGTTAGCTCTAAAACTCCATAGGATAAATCTTCCCTTGGTGAGGAGCTTATACATATTATTACTTATTATAACCTTACCTTGGGTGAGGGCTCAAGACGGGAGGGATTTCTAAAGCTGTGGTGCTCCGTTAAAACATTTTATGCTTACAGTATGAATAACCCAAATGC